CTGGATGCACCCCCTGGCTGCAGCTGCCATGGGATGATTGCTCTGAACTCTCTACCCCTTCAGCTACTGCCTGCTGGAATGGGCGAGCTATGGGTTTAATCTGCATAGGATTTTGAACCTGGCTGAATCCTCTGGTTTAAGGATTATGATGATTTTATTCCTGTTGTTATTCTATGTCATTAGTCTGGTCACAATGCTCCAGTTTTCTCACCCAGGAACCATTGTGGAAGAGGGGGAATGAGTAGATTGTAAGGTGAGATTTCTGGAGGGGTGGCCTGTGGGTAAAACTAATATTTTCAGAATCTCTTGCCTGGCTTTAGTGCATCTCCACATCAACAGGTATACTAAGAGGTGGAGAGAAGTAGTTCATCTCCATATCAATGGGTAATTACCTGGGCAACTGAGGGATTATCTGAACCTGATTTGGGGGAGGTTTCATTTGCTTCTGCTGGAGGAGACAGCTGGCCCCCAGACCACAGTTTGTAAGTGATAAATGGGTTTTAAACTTTACCTCTCCCTTTGACTGATTTCGGTTTTAGATGTATTTTGCCCTGGGATTTCCTCTCCCCAGAGTTACAGGGTCTTATGTACAGGGAGTCTAGGAGCGGTCGGTTGGATAAGGTTGTGCTCTGCAATTGTGGACAGGAGGGAATTGACAATGACTACACGAGTGCCAGGGGAGAGGGGAAAAGGACTGTGTGCTTTGCTAGGAAGGATCATTCTTGTGCGACAGGAACTCCAGGGAACAAAACCTTGGTCAGTGCGGTGTGCCTCCCAATAACATGTTTCCTGGTTTTGGCCAGCCCTGGGCTGTCAACATAGCACATACTTAGCATACTGCTGGGAGGAAGCCATGTGAACACATGGTTATTCTGAAACAAAAGGTCACACAACAGCAGCGCTTGTCCCTAGAAGAGTACGTGGGAAGAAGGGGAATAACAAGATGTGAAGTCTGATGGTGATGGCTATGGGCAATAAAATGTCTTCCTTATTGAAAATGTACACCCTTTAGCTTTAACATGAGGAGAATCTCCAAATTCGTGGTGGTGGGTAGCCACTGCCTTCCAATAGACCCCTACATTGTTTCTGCTGAGTTTCAGCTTCTTCTTAGTATATTCTCTGATTTCTGTCTAGCTTGCTCTCAGTGAGCTGTGCTGCTTCAACATTCAGAAAAGCTTTGAAAGATAAATGGGAGTTTGGATAATTCAAGAGATGGTGGGGAGAGTATTCCAGGCATTTGAAAATGCAGGAGAAAGGCACAATGCAGAAAATTTAAGACATCTGGGCAACAGCATATATATCAGTATCGAGTGGGAGATGAATTTATACCTGGTACCTTTTAAAGGACTACTAACACACAAACATCATACTGTTAAGTAAAATACAGGGGTTAGGTGGAATGGCTCCTGGTCACAAGAAATCAACATCTACTTTCTTTTCAAGTAAGGGAAGGAAATTAGCGAAGAGGGAGAAAGGAAACCCAGGGAAAAGGAGAAAGACCTTGATGCCTAGAACAATCATTCAAAGGAGTCAGTCTACAGTCACCCATATGCTTATGATTACATCATCTGTGCTATGGAGAGTCATAGATAATCATCAGCACAGGAACAGCCTGTATCTCTTTTAGGTCATTTCTCCTCTGTGCAGATTAGAATTTTTCCAAAGCAACCTCTCACTAGAAAACGAAGTGAAAAACAAAATGAAACTGAAAAGCAATCATATATAGTAAGTAAACTTTATGACACTAATTTGAAAGTGAATTGAACATAAGTTTAGAGGCTCAGTTTATGAAGCCTCTCCTCATTCTAACTGATAAATTGTTCATCAATGCTTATCCTGAAGCAAACATTCACTGAGGCCAATTCCAAGGTGAAACCACTTCCTTTTGGAACCTACATCTTCCTGATGTGAGCCCGTCCTTCTTTTAGGTGCAAAGTTACAAGGTACTTCAAAGATCTATACTCAGCCTTAGGCTTTGGGATATCCTGCACTGACTCTGCCACAGACTTCATCTCCTTTTGGGAGAATCTCCTGTGACTCACAGACCTTAGCCCTTTTCCTTCCAAAGTATGGTTTGAATCAATTGAATTCCTCAGCCAGTTACTAGAGCTGCTTTCTATATCCTTTGATAAATAGACTGTTTCACCTAAGACTTGGTGAAGAGGTTTATAACATGCCACCTCAAAATGACACTTTGGCATATTGGTTATTTTGAGCTGAAAGTACTTGAGAAACAGTAGATGCAGCAAAAGCTCTCTGATCTCCCCCTCTCTACCTAAAAGCAGGTCACAAAGCCTCCCACGAGAAAGGTACCTTCCCAGTACCAGGAAGAGAAGAACATGCTTATGAAACTGGGGGTCAAAGTCAAAATGGATCTGCACAAACAAACCCAAAGTAACCTTTATCTTCCACTAGTTTCCCTATGTATTTTCTCTCCTTAAGTGAACTTCGGTGGGTGAGTTTTAGACTGCTGATGAGCCAGCTTTGAAAAGGGGAGGTTCCACTGCATCCCAAGTCCCACTACTTTGCAACTATTAAGTATAGGTTCTTACTGCTATTCAGATTGATATAAACACCTGGGTTATGATCATCAGATAAAGTCATAGAAATTAGTTTCAAGTATAACCTAGGACACAATGTTGAAGTATCCTCCAGGAGGGTGTAGTGTTTCCCATGAAACACAAATAGTTCTGCTTCCTGCTTCTTTCCCCATATTAGAATCACTGGGTGTAGTTTTAAGGGGCAGCCACTTATTCTGCAGTTAGTGAAGAGGGGAATGCAGGAGAATCACAACCTGGGATAGTCACTTGTCCTCAATCAAAATCTAAGGCTGCTTTTATAACACTGACTTAATTTTTCATGCAATTTATTCCATGTAAAGCTTGTTCACATATCAATCTTTCCATGGGACTAACATGGTGTTTTCCAAAGTATTGTTCACAACTCATTGCAGGCAGAGAAATCATTGTAGTGGGTCGGTAATAGGCAGAATTTTTTACATGACAGAGAATAAAACATTATCAGAGGAAGTCACATTTTTGTTATTTAAAAAATCTGATGTTTGTTTTTATGATTTGGTAAAAAACTAAAAGATAGGGAAGGATATACTTCAAACTTTTAATAATGGTTACCTCAGAAGAGTGGAAAGGAAGGTGATCACACACAAAAAAATTTATTCCAATTAAACCCACCTTCTTCAAGAAGTCTTTTCTAGCTTATCTAATTTGGATTCCTTAATCAATTTTCTTACCACCTTAGTACTAACACTGCACATTTTTATACCCACCCATTCATACTTCCATTAAACAACCACTGTGCTGTGCTCCTGGGAAACTAACATAATCACTATGGATTATCTGCCTTAAGAGTGTGGTGTAGTCGGAAAGGCAGATAAATATCTTTTGTGAGTGTTTCATGGCTTTTATTCCATCTCCCCTAACAATTATATCACAGATTGGAGGGAAAAGGTTGAGAGACACAACTAGAAAGAGTCTACAATCTTTGAGGACTTATCCCCTAACCCCACCCCAGGCTCTCCCTAGAATTTTTTTAATGGCTTTTGTGGCAATTAACACATTCTCTCCTGCATTTGCTTTAACTGTACATAAGCCTGATTGTACATATCTATCCAGTCTGAAAACTAACTGTACTACCAGATTTTTTGTATTCATAGTTCTACACATGTAGATGTCTCTGGGGAAGGAAAACTCTTAAAATAACTCAGAACTAAGTTTATAATACTAACCTCTCTCTCTCTCTCTCTCTCTCCTGAGAGTCAGACTACAATTCCAATTGCTCAGCAAATGTCTTCACCTGGATGACCTTTAAGAATCTCAAACTTAACCTAATTCACGTGCATCTTGCTACCTCTCTCACTCACTACTCAAGCAATCTCGCTTCCGTTTCACATTTAGGTTTTTATGCCAACCCTGAGTCATCTGTTTACTCTCCCTTACCTGTCATTAATACGGCACCAAAAGCTGCACATGTACATTTCTTCCATTTGGCTTTCCCTTTTTTACTGCCCTAGTTCAAGCTCTAAAATGCTTCCCTGCTTCGCCCGCTACCCCCACCAACCTACACAATAGCTCTCAGGATCACTTCACTAAAGCAAAGATGTGTTCACTATCATTTCCCACCTTTAAGAAGCTGGCAACTCCACTAGGACAAGGATCATGCCCAGCTTTACCCACTGTTTACCACAGCCCAAGGTTCCTGGTATGTAATTGGCATTCAATGGCACTCGTCAGTAGCCTTAGTGAAGTTACACTCGACACAAAACTAAACTCGGCAAGACATTTGAGTGCCAAGTTACCCTTCCAATCCCAGCTCTCACAATGCCCTCCAGGGTTTCCTAAGTGCCTAGCAGTAAATATTCTTACCCTTGGTTCCTGTCGCATTCCCCTTCTTTTGTACTACATATGCTAAGTGGATTATTTTATTTGCCGAATAACGGAACTTGTTCTTCCCACTATTTGTGTACTCTAGTTTCTCCACCCGATTACAATGCCAGCAGGGCATGGAGGACGGGTCTTTGTGCCCTATCCTCTAGGCTAGTGCCTAGCCCTACCCGCACTCGGTAACTGTGAAGTGGATGCACGAATTGGCGAGGGCACGGGTCTCTCGAAGCCGTCATCGTCTCTGCCACGGAGAGAGGGAACGGGCGGGAGATGCACATGGGCCTGAAGAGAACATAGTGACTGGCTGCTAAGACGCGTCTTTGTAGTTTTGTTTTTTTATTTTTATCGAATACAACGCTATTGAAAACAGCATAAATCACAACTGCACCGCTCGTGAATTTCACGAACAAGCATCCGTGCAACCAGCACCTAGACCGACAACTGGAACACTACCCGCACCCAGAGGCCTCCCCGCACCGTCTTCCACTGAGGGCCCTTTCCACGTTCAAAAGGCCGAAGAGTTCAAGCGCTGAGCCCTCAGGCCACGATGAGCGACGCCCGGGCGTAGTCAGAGGGCCCCAGAACCGAGATAAAACTCACCCAAAAACTTGAGACGACTCATGACCGTACGGCAGGATCCGGCGCGGCGGAAGCGGAAGTGGCTGCTGCGCGTACCGCCCTTCCGGCAGCTCCGTTCCGTCCCCGAACCGCCGGCCGCGGATTTCCCGGGAGCCCCCGCGGCCGCTGGAAGTGAGCGGGCCGCAATGGCGTTTTCCGCTTCGGCCGCCTACTTGACCCACCAGCAGAAGGTTTTGCGGCTTTATAAGCGGGCGCTGCGCCACCTGGAGTCGTGGTGCATCCACAGGTGGGAGAGGGGGACCCAGGGCGCGGGGAGCTGACCCCAGGGACCGCCACGGAGGCTGCGAGGCCCCGGGGGCCGAGCGCGGCTCAAGGACTTCGGGGACAGATGGGGGAGGCGGCCCATCGACTGGGTTCGATCGCTGCCTTCGTCGTCCATAGCTACGAGATCTTAGAGAGTTGTTTATCTGACCAGGGCCGCAGGTTTCTTTTCTGGAAAACGGACTTAGGGCCCTGCTCAGAGGGTTGCATAACGATTACATGAAATAAAGGAAAGTGACTAAAACTGATTATAATGCGTTCAGCGCTACTTCATGACCACCTCGATCCTAATATTAGCAGTAATTAATATGGGCGTTGTTTTGTTTAGTCCTCACAACTCTAGTTGTTCGTGATCATTTAGCCTTATTTTACAGAGGAGGAAAGAGAAGCAGAAAGGGACTTGGCAAGGCCCTACAGCTGGTCAGGATTTAAAAAAAAACCTCAGGTGTCTAACTTCGAAGCATCGTCATTCGCCAGCCCCTCCCATCAGCGTTCCTCTTGTTAGCGTCTTGCGGGCCTTTTCACTACCTTCGCATCCTACATAATTATTTACCACATACATAACCCTCTTCTTTCCTCTCTAACCATCAGAGACTAGCCTTAGAACTTACTCTTAAAACATAGATTTTCATGACCTAGATGCAGTGCATGGTGAGTAGCAACCCAAGACGTGTGACCTCTACCCCCTTTTCAGAATCCTAAAAACTAGTTCTAGGAGAAGGGCTTCTGGAAGAATCTCTAAATGATGGAATACTGAGCAGGTCTGGAAGAGTTGTGGAGGGTATGCTTAAAGCCTAGGTTACATATCTGTGGTTATTGGAAAGTCATAGGCTACTTCTCGGCTAGGCGGGAGGATGGCCTGGCTTGGTGGTGTAGGATTGTTAGTTTATTCCCTGCTTTTTCCTTACTAATTAATCCGACAGAATTTGCAGTTCAGGTTTTATGCTGGATGCTGAGTAAATAAAAGAACTTGGCAACTCGGATAAACGGGGAAGATGGACATGTAAACAAGTAGATACCTCAGAAAATTACCAATCTTTTTAAAGATGAATTCAAGCCATCAAGAATTCAGGTAATGCTGAACTACATCTGGAAATAATAAAGCCATAGTCGTGGAGGAAATAAGTATCTACTATAATAACATTGACTCAGCATTTTAAAAGATCTCACTGACATCCTTTCTCATACTTGCTTTATTTTTCTCCCTCCATTTGCCCTCGTAGTGCTATTTGTTCCCCATGGTTCCATCCTCGGCTGTCTGTTATTATTGTATATACTTGGGGCAGCCTCATCTAATTCTTGGACTTGAATTGTCTTACGCCTATGCTCATTTGTCCCTAGAGCTGTATTTCCAACTATTTGATAGATCAGCTAGTTCTCTGAAACTCAACTTGTCTAAATTCTTTAAAACCAAACTAATTTTTTCACTATCCCATTCTGATTGTCTTCCCAGGTTCCCTGCCTCAGTTAGTGGCATTACTAGTAATTCATTTACTCAGTCTTAGAATTGTTCTCAAGTACTTCATTTACCCCTCTGCCAGTGATATACATACTTATATGCCGTGTATAATTGGGCACTGATTTTTGTAAATTCTCTCCCCAGTGTAATATTTATCACTGATATTGAGCATTAAGGAGGTAGGTTCCAGGCCCTGTTTGAAGCATGTTTATGTTTTTAGCTCTTTGAATCTTTAGGATAACCTTAAAATATAGATACTGTTATTAATACTTTTATAGAGGAGGAACCCATGGCTTAAAGACATTAGAAACTTAACCCGTAAACACAAAGGGTAGCTAAGATTCATCCCAAGCAATCTTGATTTGAGTCCCCATTCTCATAATTTTATAGTCTAAATGTTTCTCTACTGTCTCCTGTCTGTTCCCGTCACTGTTGCCTACTTCAGGCCCTCCTCATTTGTGGCGTGGATTATTGTCAAAGCCTCCTAATGATCTATGCCCAGTTTCTTCTAAAACCTGACCTTACCGTGCCTAAGATCATGCAGCTGGCATCAGAGTCAGGATTCAAACCCAGGTCTGTGATTGAAGCAGTATTTCAATCACATGGCTTTCACCATGTAACACCTCCCTTATTCATCTTTGTATCTCCAGAATTTAACACAGTGTCTAGTACAGGGTAGGAGAAAATTCGGTAAGTTGGCACTGAATGAATGTTGAATCATCTACAGAGGCTACAGCTAGTTTTTCTCTTGCTAATTAGCTTTTTCCTTTTTTGTTTAAGTCATCATTCCTTTGTTGGAGGAGAGAGGTGGGAGGTGGTTAGGCTGTATTTGACATTTTTTTGTTGCTGGTGTTGGGGGGCTGCTGTGGAAGCCATCATAGTGATGTGGCTGTCCCATCAGCAGGGTCTGGGGAGGTGCCAGGAAATTACACTGCTCATCCAGAAGGCGTGGTGGAAGTACAGCCTCTTGTCAGACAGTAATCATGCCCAGTTGAGTAGATAACATTTGTGATATCGAAAACCATTTTGGTTTAAGGGACAAATACCGGTACTTCGCTTGTTTGCTGAGAGCCCGATTTGAAGAACATAAGAATGAAAAGGATATGGTGAAAGCCACTCAGCTGCTTAGGGAGGCGGAGGAAGAGTTCTGGCACAGTCAGCATCCACAGCCGTACATCTTCCCTGACTCTCCCGGGGGCACCTCCTATGAGAGATACGAGTGTTACAAGGTAGGTGAGGACTGCCTCCTGAGAGGCGATTTTGTTTCTCTAATCCCAAGAAACCTCAGCCTTAGAAACTACTTGCCCTTTTCAGGATAACTAGGAGATTACTTCCCTACAGTTGTAGATACTTTTCTTCAGGTGTCAGTATTCTCCCAGATGACATTAAGACTTTCTAAATTCGGCTTCATGGTCTTGTAGTATCTTTTTGGCAAATCAGAGTGCTAACATCCTTGGTAAGTAACTCATTTTTGGACCTTAAAGTTAACCTGTTTGGGTTGGGGCTTAGTATTTTTGAGAAAATCTAGGTGATACTTGCGGATAACAAGCCCGCTCTGGAGGTGTAGAGAATGCAGATGGGGAGGAAGTATACCAGCCCTTTCAGCTGCCCTTGCCATTTTTCAGCCCTTGGCTATTTCATCTAAGGCATTCTCTTTTATGTTGGTTCCTGCTTTCCCCTGCCGTTCACTGTTTAGTGTCGGCAATAGTCTGGCACTTGTAATGCTTATGAAAATTCACCATGTCTCCTGAGCAGGTCCTGTCAGTGGCATGTAAATGCCTCCTGTGGAGTGATGCCATGATTTCCTCTCCTGACAGGTTCCTGAGTGGTGCTTAGATGACTGGCACCCTTCTGAGAAGGCCATGTACCCTGATTACTTTGCCAAGAGAGAGCAGTGGAAGAAACTGCGGAGGGAAAGCTGGGAGCGAGAGGTGAGTCTTCCCTACATTTTACCGGAAAGCTTGGCTCACGTGGTCACCTGAAAGGTGCTCTGGTTTTGCTCCCCCTCCGTGCAGAGCTCAGTTCCGGCCAGGATGGTCGCTCTGGCCCCTTGCCTCTCAGCTAGACATACATTCCTTTCTAAGGGTGTGAAATGCACCACATACAACCATCTTACAAATAGGTTGCAATGTGTTTGCCAGTCTTTTGGGTTTTCTGTTCTCTAATTTCAAGTCTCCCCTCCTCAGTCCTTCGCCATACCCTGCTGTCCCTTATCTTTCCCCTCCACAGTGCTTTGGAGATTGTTTATTCACCTTACAATGTCTTGGCTGATACACATTTTTAAAGGCTCAGTCTTGCTGTAGTGTGAAGAATATATTGGAAAGGGTAAGGGGAGAAGTGGAGAGATGAATATGGGGTCATTGTAGTTCAGTCAGAAGGTTATAGCAATCAGCGCTCAAGTGGGTGCAGTGAATATGGAAGGGCACAGATTCAGGGTATCATTTGGAGAGGTATGGGGATTGACTGGGTGTGAGGGATGCCCAGGGGACATGGAGGAATCAAGAATGGCTTCCAGGGTTTAAGCTTTAACTTAAAATATGGAGTTTGGTGATGGTCTTTATTGAGACAGGGAAGATGGGGGGAAACAGGTGTCAGAGGGATGATGAAGTGTTCGGTTTTAAGTTTGCTAAATTTAAGAATGTTAAATTTGAGAATCCTGTGAGACATCAAGTGCAGGTATCAGAAGACAACTTTGGATGTAGTAATCTGGAACTCAAAGGAGAAAACAGAAATTTGTGAGTTATTAGTTGTCATTAAAAGCCGTGAAAATATTTGAGATCCTTGACAGAGAGGAGTCATAGGAGCTCCTACCTGCAAAGGTCGGGAAAAGGAGACCGAGGCGCATCCAGCAAGGGAGGGGGCCATCGGGGGTGTGACAGGAGAATCAAGAGGGTGTCTCAGGTGTGGCCAGGGCAGGGTCACCTTCGCTGATAGTTGCTAAAAGGTGGAATAGAGTGAGGATTGGAAATTATGTCCAGAGATTTCGGCTACAGGAAAGGCAGTAGTAATGGCCTTTTCTGGAGGGTGGAATCACACTGATGAAAGTGAGCTGAAGGTGAGGAAGAGAAGGCATCAGAAGTAATTCTCAAAGTTTTGCTGAGTACAGTGACTGGAGGGCAAGGATTCTTTTAAGATAAGAAATAAGGATGCATATTTGCTGATTAGATTTGGAGCAAGGAAGAAATTGGTAATATTGAACAGAAATGAATAGGTAGAGGAGGAAAGTTTTTGAGAAGTAGGACCCCAAGCATGTATGGAGGCCTTTAAGAGAAAAGGGGTTCTTCCTCCATTATAATTGTGCAGAAGATGTAAATACACCTGGCTTAGAAGTTTTGATGATAGAAAAATGATGGACTTTGATGTGATGGCTTCTGTAGCGGGCACAGCATGTTGGGGAATGAGGGAAAGATGTGAGTATCGTGGGGAAATGATGAGCTTGCTGGGGAATAGTTGTAAGGTGGCCGTTTGGGGGTGAAGCTGGGAATGATTAGTGTATTGTAACATGAATTTGTTTCAGTATTTGCTTCTCTTTAGCATTATATACCAAATGGGTGCAGGCTTGAAGGTAGATGGTGTGGTTTGTCACTGTTGAGAGTGACAAGGGGCTTGAGGTTATTTCAAGGGGACCTGATTACATGATGGAATCTAATCTACCTGGATACAGAAGGGAAGTAAAGATGGGAGGTTGATGCAGGGGAGAGGGGCAGTCTGGCTGGCTGGATCTGTGAACTGGCTGTGTTGTGAGTTCTGAGAATTATTTTCAAGGAGCATTTTAGCACATGAGCTGAAAAGGGACACTAGTTGGATAGTGGAATATTTGAATTCATGATTTTGAAAGGTTCTGGTGATGTCTAGGATGCTGACTGTTGGAAGTCCTTGGCCAAAGTAGAGAATAAAGCCTTTGTGATGGAGGAAGGCAGTTTTCTAAGACATGTTTCATTGAAAACAAGGTGCATTTATTCCTGGAGACCAGCAGGTCCTTCTGCAGTTGCTCACTGTGACAGTCTCCTTCTCTCCACAGACACATTCTTCCTTACCTGTTTGTCTCATCAACATCATTAAACAGCATGTGTGCCTAAGGCTCAGGTTAGCCACAATCTAGAACTGATTTTTCTGCAAGAAATTTTAGAGAAACATTGCTCTAGCGTTAAGTTTCCTTCTCTGTTAGGACAGTGATGGTTTTGGAGGTTGCCATAACTGGGTACTTGGGCAATAGCAGGCAAAACTGAGCACATTTTTACCTGCGATTTCGTATTATTTCTTGTCCTGTTTGCTATTTGGGGGGCTTTAAAAGTTAACATCCCTAATATATATGAATTGAGTTTTCTCAATGGTGCTTTTAGAGAGCACATAGCTGGAACACAAAAATAAATGTTTTTCTGGAGGGGGAACAGGTGGGAGACTGAAGTGGAACTGGAATGGTAATTGTAATAGTTTTGCTTAATGAGTAAGGGGTGGGGTAGGAAATTGTTCTCAGCTTCGCTGTTTAAAGAATGGGAATACTTTATAGAAAGGAGAAAAGGTTTTCTGAGTTAAAGTGTGGGCATAAGAATATCGGTACATACAAAAAAACACTTCCCAGCGGCGAGGATCAGGAAGCGTGTAACATGACACACAGTAAAAACAAAGCTGACACTTCACTGCGGCAGACTTTACAGTTGTCAGTTTGACTCCTTTTCTAATTGTTCCTTACTCCTTCTAGATTAAGCAGCTGCAGGAGGAAACCCCGCTTGGTGGTCCCAAAACAGAAGCTTTGCCTCCAGCCCGAAAGGAAGGTGATTTCCCCCCACTGTGGTGGCATATTGTGACCAGGCCCCGGGAGCGGCCCATGTAGAGAGAAGATGACACCTCACCAATCATGCTTGCAAGTGAAAGAAGTTATAGAATACACACACTTGCCTTAATAAAAATAGTATGCTATGTCTGATGTGTTCTGAGGGTTAACATGCCAGCTGACTGTGCCACTGTTGTTTTCTTACCACTTGTGCATATACAGAAAAGAACATGCAGTGTAGTCAATGTCTTTTCTCCCCCATTAAGCCATATTGATAGCACATGTTAGCAGTAAGGGAAAACTGCAGAACCAGATAGAAAATGTACACTGAAGATTGACTTGAACAAACTATAGTTGAAGGTTTAATTAGCTATAGTGACTGGAAGCAATATGAAACCAAAAAGAGAAGGTGTGCTAATATTGAGAACTTAAGATAACTTTTTAGTTTTCTTAAAGATTTCACTAATGTATTTTAGTTTTGATTAAAAGGACAAACAGCTCTCCCTAAGCACACACTCCACAAATAAGCGTGGAGTTTATGGGGTTCTCTCAGGACTGGAGGTTGGGATTAAACCTATTTTTGTGACGAGGCAGTTTTCCAGCTTCGCTTTCTCTACTGTAGCTTGGATTAGCTGCAGGCTCAAAGGTAAGAGCATAGAACTCTTTAAATATTTGAAGAAGGTACTTTAAAAGGTAAAGCCATTTTTAAGACTGACATGTCAGACACTCCTGATTTTAGTTCTTGATAGCTCACTGGAACTGTTGAAATTACTAGTTCAGGCACCTGGTGTTCTTAGGGCTCGAACGATCACAAAAATTGTTTTCCTAAAGCTCAATCTGAGTCTCAGTCCATCTTCTAACATTTGACCAAGCCTTCCAACTGAAATTTAGTAAGTCTTGAAATACAGGATTTTTTTTCTAGTGGTTCTTTATTTATAATGTAGGCTGAAGCAATTGTTACAGGGTAGAAGGGAGACAAGTTACACAATTGTTGTATTTTATACAAGTTTAGAACAAAAAACTGCACAGGGAGAGGTCAACTCTTAGTACAAACTAGCAACTAAACCACAATAATTTACCTTTAGAAACTATTTTTCGCTGTGACACTGCTTTTACAATATGCAAAAACACAAACAGAACTACCCAAGGTGTTTGTCACATTCTTTCTACATTGAATTTGGCAACATTTTATATTATATTTATTCAGATTATTCTAACGTTTAAAAACTAAACAAGTGAAAAGCTGTACCAAGGTACAGTTACATCCATTTATTTCAAAGGTTTAAAATACCACTTTTATCTATTGTACTTACTTTGCAGTGATTTCTGCTTTTGCAAAAACCATCTCAAGCATCATATGCACAATGCATCAGCTATTCTTAGTCATAAAGATTGGTGGGCTAAACCACAGGCACTACTGTTGCTTATATTTGTAAAAGGAGCTTGTTTTTCAAAGAAGAAAAGCTTAGTTTCTAATAATCATGCCTTTGCTTTAAAGCCGTAACATAAGAAGTCCTTGAGCAATCAATCACAGCAGTGTTAAATGTTAATATATAGAAGAATGGCTATACAGGTATGTTACTCTCACATCCAATGCAGTTATGTATTAAAGCATAAGATTATGTAATTGAAGATTACAGCCAACAGAAATCTGCAGGGTCTGTGGGACCCACCAAGCTCCTACTCAAAAGAGTTTGTATCACAAAGGAGCCCTTTAAACTAACCCGAATAGTGAGGGGCTTGCTTGCTCTTTCAGACACTCTTCTCCAGACGTGATCCCATTAAATCTACAAGTCCCTGTTGGCTTTAGGGGACAGGCATTAGAACAAATTGAACAGAAAAAAACAAATCCATTCCAAAAAACATTACCTAGAAAACAAAAAAAGGAACAGTATAGTGGTGGAACAGATTCCCAGTGACAACAAATAAATCTCTCTTCAATGTTTAGTATGAAGCCAATTAACTGCCACTGATTTAAAAGAAGGTAAGAAAAACAAGCCCCCAGATTGGTAAACACATTGGCAAGTTGCTAGACTCCAAAGTTGGTTACCCTTGTTAAATTTGCTCAAGTTTTTTCAAAATATTTGGGCTTTTTAATGTGCCCAGCCTGCTGGGCAGTTAAGTAAAAGGCATTTGCTGTATCTAAGAAGTCCCTGCTATTACTTAAAATGTCCTCACATTTTTAAAACTGCCTTACCCTTTTGGATGTATTTGGATTAGATGAAAGTGGGTTCAACAGACGAGTAACTGAAGTGGGGGATTCTATGTCTACCTGGTGGCAGCAGCATGCTGGGATTGGAGGGGTGGTGTGTGCAGTCAAGAGGAATCTGGGGAGAAAGGAATTCCTTAAACACCCTACAGAAACAAACACTGCAGTCCAGTATGGCTTATTCAGATGCATTTACCATGAAGCTACTAAAAATTCAACCTACAAGGCTACTCTTAAATGTAACAGGATTGGCTATGTTGACAATGTGCCCCTCCCACAGCCCTCCCCCCAATCCCAACAGTCTACCATTTCCAGACTCTGAATATTGCTCAATTGTTACTCCTGCTTTTCTCATCCAGAACATAGTATATTTAAATGAAGATTTTACACCCCTTATACATTGTACATTAAAATAACTTGAATTTGCTTCTAAGCCAGACTACTACAATGCATCTACAAAAGTTGCAGAATAATAGGAGAAAAGAAAAGATACATAGTTAACCTTTTTTCTGAAATTAACTACTTCGTGGTTCCCCTGCCCCTACCACTCCCACCCCCACCCCACTTAGGCATTTAAAATTTTACAAAGACTTGTAAAAAAGTTAAATGGATTTGGCACCTTCAGAAAAAATCAAAAGGGAACTAAGATTAAAATGTGAAGAAAGAAAATTGCCCATATTTACAAATTAAAAGGTCAAGGTCTGTCAGTTACATGTTGCTTTTAATTCTTATCTAAAGGTGTTGAGTACTTTCAAAAGAGCTGTATTCTGAGTTGCCTACAAAATCTTTTGTTTGATTATAGATTGGAATGGATCAAGACAAATTAGGTTTTATTAATTAACCAGTTCATTCCCCACTGGCAGCACTTCTTGTGGGCTGAAGAGCTTAAGAGAAGCGAGGGGCTGAGCGGTCATTTGTCGTGGTCTTCTTCAGTTTCACACCCCTGCGGATGGCGTTCAGCATGTCTTCTCCTTGCACAGGATCTCTTGGGCTCAGGTCTGCAGGGTCGCTCTCTGGAATCTGGCTTGGGGAGGCAGTGGCACTTGAGGGATCCCTTTCCTGGTCTTCAGCCTCACTTTCTAGAATCGCCTGTCTGTGCTCCTCGGGGATACTTGGCTTCGGGCCTGGAAGAGGAGGGTTGACGGAGGCTTGGCCACTCCACATTGAGGAGGGCATGCTGGTGACACCCTGGGGGCCCTCACCCACAGAGGGTGACTCGGGGCTGTGCTCAGCCCGGTCCTCTGGCCCATCTGGAGGGGTTGGCAATACCCCAGGGAGGTCTGGGACAGTTGGGGTCTTGACAGGGACCACAGGCGTCTTGATGGGGATGGGACCACCTCCGATGGTCCCCCGGCGGACAGAAGGCTTGGTGGAAGGGGTCCGTCGAATGGTTGCAACCCCTGGGGTGACCATAGCAGGTCCAAGGGTGGTAGGGAGGCCAGCCGTTGAGGCCGGGCGCTTGGCTTGGAACATCCGTCGGTAGGACTGGCTGATGTCACTGTTTCTCGGAATAGTGGAGGATTTGTCAAATTCCTGCTGATCTGCCTCCTGGTCGCCGCTTACAGAGAAATAATCATAATCTGAAACTGATTATAGGACCTGATTAGACATCTCCAAGGCAGCAGCTTTGCTTTTTGATTCTTTAGTGTGGGGGGAACAAAATGTGCAAGAGGCAGGTACTTCCTCAGCCACAGTCTCATCCCAGTCCCCCCCCCACTGACCCCCACAGCGCCGCCCGGGTCTGTGCCATCCTTAAAAGCCCTCATTGCTTAACTCTGGAAGAGGTCTTCGCTTTGTTATGATGTAACCTGAGCACCCAGGACCATGTTGGACATAGTAGGCACCCACTCGGGTGAGGCTGAGCAGTGAAGAACGAAATGGCCAGGCTGCAGCAAAGCTGCCTCTGGGCATTTCTGAGAGGAATAAATTGGGGGAAAGAGGATATAAATTCTGTCAATCCTCCAGGCCAGAATTTAACATGAGAAGCAAACTTCCAAAACACCATCACAGACCTTAGTATCTCCCTCATTTAATGTCATTAGATTAGGGCTAGAAAAAGAACGGAGCGACTGGCAATAAGCCCGAGGATGGGTAGATTCCATTTGTGAGGCAGGCACACTTCCTCTCTAAGACTGGGGTCACACGGGACAGGAAGGCTTACGATTTCATCGTCTTAGAGCAGGTTTCTCACCAATGACATTTTGGGCCAGATAAATCCTTTGTTGTAGTAGGGCGGGGAGTTATGCTGCGTATTAAAGGATGCAGAGCAGCATCCCTGGCCACCTACTAGATGCCAGTACACCCCCCTCCAGCTGTGACGACCCAAAATGTTCCCAGACATTGCCAAGTGTCCTCTGGCAGAATGGCCGCCCATCGACTCCTACTTAATCTTAGAGGCTTTGGCTAAAGCACCACAAATAGGTGGGATCAACCACTGTGGATCTGCTCTAGGTGGACTGCCATCTTGCTGGCTTGTGTGCACGGTAGGGGAGGCAGCAGGGTTGGCAGGGGATTTGGATAGACTAAGTGAAGAGCTTGGGCTTCAGACTCTAAAAGACCTCATGTTCAAATGCCAGCCCTGCTTATTAGTTCTATCAGTTTGAGCGAATTACTGAGCCTCAGTTTCCACATAGGTAAAATGGGGATAAAAAAATACTACACAAGTGGTTGTAAAGACTGAATAGGAAAACAGTGTTTAGCACAAAGTGCTGAAACACAAATGATGTTATCATTCACAGCATCTGTTTGAGATTGGGAACAATCCTGTATCCCGATGGTGGGACACAAGAGAAGGTGCAACAGTCCAGCTGCTTCCTTATATGGTGGTGCCCTGACAGTTACAGATCAGCTCTCCAAAGCACTCCGAGATGATGACAATGCCTCTGAAGCTGGGCGGCTTGCCAGGACTTACGCTGTGGTTAACAGGACTCTCCGCTTGCTCTCTGCCTCCCCCAGCTGGAGAACCACCCCTTCTCCTCACCTGGCACTGTGCAGGCAGCCCAGCCAGAACCCCAGGCACCGTGTACCTTGGGAGGGGATGGTGTCCTCGGAGCAGCACGGGGTGGTAGTCTGCGTGCTGTAGCCGCTAGAGCACTGAAGGGAGTCCCGGCTGCTCCTCTGGGTGTCAAGCTGGAGGCCCCGGGACAGGGCCAGTGCCAGTTCCTCACAAGCCTCCATCTCTTCACCAGGCTGAAGGTTAGAAGAGAAAAATACACAAATAAGCCACGAATCCCGTCTGATGTCCCAGAGCCTTTGCACACACCTCTTCAAGTGGGGGCCTCACTGTTACTCCTATTCTGCTCCCATGAATACCACCTGTCTGTGGGCCCTGGGCTATCGGCTTGCTTGGGTCCTACCCAGACTCTAGAAGTTCTGTGCGTCTGATTCCCGTAAGAGGCTTTCCCTGGGATCCTTCTAAATGCTATTGAGCAGGGAGCTGGGGATAGAGGCCTTGGGTGCCCCCAGCTGCTGGCCAGCATATGGCCACCAACAAGGTCCAGAAGTGCCCAACCAACTGAAGAACAAGAGCATCACCCTGGCAGGAGCTGACACAGTCATGCTCCGTGGTCTTTGAGCTTCCTCGCCAGTGGCAGGTGCACCACCCACAGCAGCGGGTCCTCCTCCGCTGGGGTCCGGCTCCCGCTTCTCCTTGCGGCGCTGCAGGGTGTTCACCAGAGGCTGATCGTAAGGTCCTGGCTTGGCCCAGTCCTAAGTAGAACAAGTGTGGTCAGGCACCTGGGCCTCTGCCTCCATTTGAAGGACTGCAGAACCCTCCAGACGATTGCCCACAGAAAGCAGCTCGTCCCCAGAGGGAGAGCTCAGGCGGGAGAGACCAGCAGGCCCTTTATATGCCCTTGCCCGGCTCTAAAAGAAGGGAGTGGAAAATTCTTTGGGGGGCCTCCTGGGTACCTCCCCTTTCCTCATATCTGCCCAAAGATTAAAAACCCTCAAGAACCAGGCAGGTAGGGAGACTCTTGGTTAACAGCCACCTAGCATCTGACTGACTGTCTAAGGTGTCTGCAGGCACCAGCCGGTCGTGCGCATCCCCAGGGACCAGGCCTCCCTTCTGATGTCTGAAGGAACCCTCTCTTCTGGAGGCTTAATGACTTCACTTGAGTGGAGTGGCCACAAGGGGGCACTAAAGGAACTCCAGCACCCTTCAGAACGCGCCCCGAGGTCCTCACAGAGGAAGGGAAGTCGGTAGGAAGACTTTGAGGAGCCTGAAGGTCCCACAAGGAGAGGGGTGAAGTCAAGACCTGCTCAAAATGCTGGCAGCCTAGGAGCCCACTATTCAACTGGGGGAACCCCCTCTCAAAACAGTAGAATTCCCTCCTGCCATAAACTGGATGTGCTACAAAGTAATTCTACAACTTTGTTTTATATTAAGGCTAACATGTTTTAATATAAAACAACTGAGACTAAAAATAAAGTTTGCGTGTACTTTTAAGATAAAACATGTTAAGCCAAAACCTACTTTGGGTTATGGTTCTGTTACCATGGCCCAACAGGGACTCAGGCTGACCTCCTAGCCCCTGAAACAGAGGAGCCCTGAGGTGGCCCCCCAGAGGGCAGAACTGGGGCTTCCGCTCCGGAACTGGCACCCCTGCAAGGCCACATCTGAGGATGCTCTCTAATGGGCTAACTGCCAAGTCCCAGCAACGCGTGGACACTTGTGCCTGGGAGCTGCCTGCTGCTCTCGGGAACCCGGGGGACGTACTCAGGGAGGGAGAGGTGTTACGGGGAAGAAGGCAGAGTGTGGAGGGGAGGGGGTGAAGGGGAACCAGGGTGGGGGTCACGGGACAGAGGAGGAGTGAGCACGGAGGCGGGAGAGGGGAGGAGAGACACAAACCTTCCAGCTAGGGATCTGAGATGACGGGAACATGCCGGGCCCAATGGTGTAATAATGAGCGTAGTCTGGAAGGTGGACAGAGGTGACCCGAGGGAGCAGGCGGGAGGCAGGCAGGCAATGAGGGGAAAGGCTTGCCCCCACGGGCCCCACACGGGACTCACTTGATAAACTATAGTGAGAAAACCCGTTAGACAACTGGAAACAAAACAAACAAAAAAAGGGGGGAAAAGGAAAAAAAAATTAATATAACAGGATGAGTGTGGAGATACAAGATGGCACTGACTTTCGGGAAGTGGGGGAGACTTGAATATTTATAAATAAAGCACCAGGGCTCTGCTGCTCATGAACGATCCACTAAGCGAGAGAAAAGAGCCGAGGTGTGGAGAACACGCATCTACCCGACACCACGTAAGTAATTCAGTCAAGGACGTATTTCATCCACATTTGTGAATAGTTTGGACACAGATCAGTATCCTTAATTGTGTTGTGGTTTTTGATGGTTTTTGATTATTTAATGAAGTCTAATTTCTTGGTGATAGTGATTTGCTCATCTTATTATGCAAATTTAAACCTTCTAAAGCATCAATTGAATCTGTTCATTCTTGACTTCTGAAATCATCACACTGTTCAGGAGCAGATTCCAAAACGGGGTGAAGGGATGGGGGTTTGCAAACTAAAAGGCAGAAAAGCACACAGCCTTTGATGAAGCAAAATGTCACATCCAATGGTATGGTGACAAGGAGGCCATGGTAGGTGGGGTGCTTGGGAGGGGAAGGGGGACACTGATGAGCATATAACACTGTCCTGGGAAGAGACCTTCACACCTCCAGGTTCCCCACACCCCTTCCTTGCCCCTGGGATGACTGCAAGGTCACTGCTTCGGAGCCAGGCACCCTCTCAAGAGTAAAAGCCCTCGCCTCGTCCCTCCCTCTGTCCCCAACAGGGGCCACTCTTGGCATAGCGTTTGTTTCCAGGTTCCTGGCGAGCAGCAGGCAGGGGAGGGGAGGGGGAAGGCGAGTCACCTTCTCTGCGGAAGCCCAGGCGCCCATGGTGGAGCCTGAGCTGACTGAGGTGGGTGAGCTGCACTCGCTCACTGACTGGCAGGTTTCGGAGGCTTCAGAAGAGGCCGAGCTGGACGAGTTCTGCAGTGGGGAGGGGGGGGCCACACGAGGGGACCGACAGAAACCGGACCACACGCCACCAAAAGGACAGTAATAAAATATAAAAGCAGGGCAGGGGAAGGGCACGCACAGAAAGGGAGACAGACATATACACAGGAGAGAGAACGATGAGACAAGCAGAGGGTTAGGGTTATTTCTCCCCCATAGCTGCACCCCCACAGAGGCTTTCAAGCCCTTGAAAAGCAGCATGAGACCCTGCGAGGCTCAGACCTGCCAGACTATATGCCCCAGGACTGCAATCTGTTAGGCATGGCTGTGCGCTTGGCACAGGAGAGTGTGGGCAGGGCACTGCGACTCCCTGTGTTCCCTCCAGTGACTCTTCCTGGGCCCCAAGCCCGCTCCCGCGGAGGCCCCGCCTCTTACATCACAGGCATTAATTCTTAACTGCATGAGGACTAACCCCCAGCTTGGGCTTTGCACCACGTCTGCCCAGAATGGCCCCAATTCCTGGCCTTTCCCTTTGTCACATACAGCTTCTGCATCCCCGAGGGGGTTTGCAGCCATGAAGCTGCATCTTTATATCACACGTTTTTAGGTTTCTCTGCCTGGGGAGTGACAGGTTTGGGGCAGTGATGGCGCAAGGTCAGCGCAATGTTTCTGCTGGCCAGCCCAGAGGGAGGAGCCCTGCTGAGATCTGGGACCTTAAGAAAAGGGGTCTAACTTGGGAAAACATCTCCTTGCACCCATCTTTAGTAAAGCACCAGTCTCAGCCAACTTCCCAGGCAGCAGGGCATGTGCTCCCGGCTCAGCCTCCTGGCACTTGGCTAAGGCAGGGACTGTGCCAGTTAGCTCACCATTACACCTCAGTTTCCCAGTCCTGTCCTGACACATGGCAGGTGCTCAAAATTACTGAAAGGATGAGTGACTTTGACCATCTCTTCCAAGTAAACTGGGTCACCTGGAGTAGTACACTTTGGGCCCACCCAGGTATTTAATCTTTCTCATTACTAATGGCAATCTCTGGCTCACCCGTTTGTTTAAAAAACCCAGTCCTTTGGGATCTAGTAATATGGTCCTGTATGAACTGTCAAGGAGGCCAGATTCATGTTTCTGTCTACCCCTTGCACCTGCCAAAGACAGAAAAGTTCCTGCCAAGGGACAGAGCTTAGCTTTCCCATCGTGCAAGGGCAAGGATCCCAGAAGACACTCGGCCATGCGTGGGGCTCCCTGGAGCCTAAGCCAGGAGAAGCTACACAGTGGATGCCCTGGCTGCTTCCCAGGCACAGTGTCTTGGTTAGCAACCCAGGATCTCAAGTTTGAAGGTGTGTACTTAAGTTACGTTTCTGCCACTTTTAGATTGAGGAGCTGTGGGCTTAAATCTCTGAGACTCAATCATCTTTAGAACAGGGATCAAAAAGATCTAAACACATGAAGACAAAATGAGACTTTCTATGTATGTGCATGTCTATGTCTGCAGTGCTTAATAAAGTGTAAATAAAAGTCAGTTTCCCCACAATTCATCAGGACTGTTTATTTTGGTTCCTCTAACGCAAGCACAACTGGAAAAGAGAACCACCAAACCACCCCAGGACTAGAGCTTTGTATTTCTTTTGACTTTAGCTCATTTTTTCTAAAGAACCTCTTGCCTTGACGGAATGAGCTGTTCTAAGATGAGACCCTCACTGTCAACATGGTCCCACTCCCGGGCATATGTGGGCTAAGGCACAATTTAAAAAGACCAGAGTGGAGGAAAATGGGAGAATGACAGAATATGTCACTTGGTATTCACTGTATACATGTAACTGAGGGAGAAATAAATGAGGGGATCTTGTCCCTTATAGACGTGTGTGCTCTTCCTTTTACCCTGAAGAAAGGTAATATTACTGCCTTTAGGAGACTGCTTCTTCCGCTCTAAGTCGTTTATGCAATTTCCTTAGATTTCTCCTCTACCTTATAATTATATGCAGCTGTAATGCCTTTATGTATAAATAGATTCTGCAACATCCCCAAGCTTATTAAAACTACCCTAGATTTGCCAGCCAAGCATATCTTGGGCATTGGCTTTCAGATTTAAGTAAATCCCAACACACCACCTTCTGCTTCCCTCAACACTATTGGAGGCAAAAACACGTGTTTCAGCCTGATCCACACATGCAGTCTTTGACAGGAAGGCTGGAGCACGTGGCCGTTTTTTTTTTTTTTTTTTAGAAAGGAGCATCAGTACACAATACTATGTTTATCTGTCAGTTGATTAAAAACACACAGAATTATGCTGCGCCTTTGAGGAATTGCAAATTCCTGCTTTCCTTTCAACCATTCATATTCTGCTTGCTAGACACATAGATGTAGTTTAGTGCTACAAACAGCAGGGGACACATGGGGACAGGCGGGTGACACTTTAGAAGACCATGCCAAAGCACCCCAGCTGGGACAAGCACATTAGAACTTAAAGCCTCGACTACTGGCTGAGTGTCTCCATTTGAAATTGAATCTCTATCCCAGGAAGACAGGCCACAGCCTCCAGGCGCAACTGAAAAACGCCAAAGGGAGAACTACCCTGAGAGTAACCTTCATGACATACCACCCCCTCTCCCCTAAACACTCTCCCAGGGGGTCCTTACGGCTGAGGTGGAGGAGAAAGGGTTCTGGACCCACTGCCAGAAGCCCTTGTTCCAGGTCCCTGGTCCAAAGGTCACATAATTGTGCAACTTGGACGAGTCACATCTGAGACACCGTTTCCACAACAAAATAGTGGTAACTGCTGTACGTAGCAGCTGGAGGGACTACACAGATAACATATACAGGAGGTACTAGGACGGGGCCCAGGAGATATTCAGGGACTGCTGGACAAATTGGGTACCTAGATAAACAAGACAAGCACGTGACCCTGGAGGTCCCAAGGATCTTGGAACAAAGTCTTGGTCAGCCTCAAAATGTACACATGGGCTTGAAGCCACCAAGCTCCCCAGCAGGAGATTATGTGGGGCACCTAGGATGTTCCTGTTTCCTGGTGCCTGTATGTTGTGTCTCTTACTTAAAAAGTGAAAGGCCAGTCCCCTGGCACAGCGGCAGAGAGGACAGAGGGGGGAGCAGGTGCAGGGGTCCCCATGCCCTGCAGCTCCTGCCTTCTGCTCCAGCTGGAAGCACTGAGCTGGGTTGGGTCAAGCACCACCTAACCCAGTTGTGGAAAGAGATGCAACACCTCCCCTGCTTTTAGTAGCAAAATGATGACAGAGCTTCTAGCACAGGCTCTGATGATTCATGCCCATTCTTGACACAGACTCATAAAAGGAACCCAAGAGTGTCAAGGAAGGGCTCAGAGGTGCTGTTCAATGTCAGGCTCTCCATCGTTCAGAGAACCAGAAATAGGGCTGGAGGTGTGACATGGAGCGATGCCCATTAATCACAGCATCGTGCTAAGCCAGCCACTGAAAGGGACGCCAGAGAGTGGCAAGCCTCTTTGAGTCCATCTACTTACATGTGAGGGCTCCCCAGATCAATGTGGTGACTCACCATCACCACAGGCTTCAAACCCAATTTCCCAAGTTCTCTCCTTTTTGCAGAGCAATACATCTGATGATGAGAAATTAAACCAGGGGTTTCTTGACAGTGGCCTGTCCAAGCCAATGTCTCTCTGCAGCCCCAGCCATCGATGGCAGCTGGCACCAAGTATGATAGCTGCTCTTTGAGCCAAGGGCACCCTTACCTGGCTGGGAGCCTCTGGCGGCATGGGGGACGGTGACTTGGACTGGAAGGCGTCCTGAGATATGAATCCCGAGTCATGGGAGGACACGCTGGACAGCCGCACGGGCGCCTGCTGGGTCAGGTTGGAGCTGCGGCAGCGGTAATGTGAGCTGGGAGAATGAGAGTGGGAGCCGCTGGACCGTGAGTCGCTGCTGTTGACGCTGTTCAGGCTGCTGTGGGGGGAAAGCAAGGGGGAGGTGGGCATGGTGATGAGGAAGGAGAGGTAAGGGGAAGGAGGGGAACAGAAAACAAGGGGGCAGAGGAGGGAGGAGAACGTAATCAGTTCTCCTCCCAGAGAGAAGCAGTGTGAATGGTAAGACATGCTTTCAATACGCCAGATCATGAAGCCAGTAAACAAGAGGTTTCTCCATGTGGGCAAAGGGGCAAAAACTTGCTGCCAGGATGCACCTCTCTGATGGTGCAATGAAGCATCCTGAGCGTGGAGGCCTGTGACGCTACCGAGTCGAGCACTACGCAACTCCGCCATGTCACCTGCCACCAAAGGTAGGGGATCTAATGCCTTGGCATGAAGAGATGAGGCTAACTTCCTCTGCTCATCTGCTTGAGGAAATCAGGACACTGTAGCAGAAAGCACTAAGGCTTCTATGGGCCCTGGTTAGAATATGCCAAGTGTCTACCTCAGACGGACTATCCAGGTCCAGGAGAGTGAGGCCAACCCAGCCAACCAGGGCTTCTGGAGCGCAGGTGCCAATGGACTTCTCAAGGTGCTTGTACCCTACATGAGTCTGCTTCAAAACCGCCATAAAGAACAGCAGCAAATCAACTCAGTGCATTTCTGTCAAGGTGTTTTACCGTTTACCACTAAAGTTGGCACTTTGATGAGTGGCTTTACTCTGATTACAGATGTTTCTCTGTTACAGTATCCATGAGCCTGGTGTTAACAGCACACTTGGCAAGAGGCAGGCAGCTTTCAGTGATGATGGGCAATCAACGCTAAGCTGTGTTTCTGAGATGGAACAGTATACAGGATGTTGGAAAATGACACACACACACTCTCGGGGAGTTCTGTTTGCATTCCATTTCTAGGCATAAGAAATATGCTCTACACTCTGTATAGTAATTCAGATTATAAAAACCAGAGAATGGAACAAAGCCCTCTCTGGTCCAAATGAGCAGAGCTGATGTATAAAGGGCAGCTGCAGAAGCATGGGAAGGGATGAAAAAAACAACCTGGTCTGGGATTAGAAAGTCTGTGGTCACTGCTCCTAATCTGTCAATAGATTCTTGCCGAATTTTACAAACTGGAAGCCAATAAGGCAGTCAAGGGCCATGTTCTACATGACAATTACTTGATGCAAATGTTCCGAGACACTGAGGAGTGTGCTGGAGGAAATCACTGCTGCTGGGCATGGTCATTATGACTTCTGCTCTCCCAGACATCAGTCAGCCAAAAGAGGGCACCTGGGACTGACAGGGAGCTCAGTGAAGCTCCACCCCAGGAGCTCACAGCTGATGCTGTCAGGGCAACATCATCTTCTACGGAAACTAAAGGATACTCATGCAGCTTTGTTTTATGTTGAGATAAAGTTTTTAGTTATCAAAAAACAACAGTTTTGTCATACATGCACAGCCCACAAAAGATGACAGGAAACCAACCAACTCTTTCAGGATGCAGAACGTAAGGATGTAGCATCTTACGTCTGAACTTGCTGCTCAAGAGTATACTGTACAAGCTCAAATATGCAATGAAACACACACAACTTTGTACACAGAAATAACCATACACAGATTCAGCAGATCCATCCTGCTGTTTACTTTCAATCCTATTTCATGAGAAGTGGAAATTCATTTGGCTTTGAAAAGTCAAAGAAACAGATATGCTGGTCCAGTGTACCAAGAAAGAGAAGTGATGTATGATAAAGTTTCTATCCTACAACAAGAGAATAAACTTTGCAGTCAGCAAGCCAAGAATGGCCTTCTAATAGAAAACTGCTAGCAAACAGTTTTGCAGCTGAATGAATTATTCCAATCGACTCTGTGTCGGTAGGTAACAGTAGTGGTTAACAGCACAATGGCGATGATGATAGTGGTGGTGGTAAATACAGCAATAATTTCATTTACTTTATGAAACCCTGAGACAAAAATCTGGGAGGAACTAAGGCCATAAGCCACTGTTATTTCCTTCATTATTTTGGTGATGACAAGATTGGTCTGTGTAAGAATAGGAAAACCAAAAGTGAATTCATAAAATGGGACAAATCCCAACAATGTGCAAAATGTCTAAGGTAACTGGGGGTTTTCCTTCTGATCCAAAACTAATCCAGAGGTGAAAAAGTAAGACCAAAATCATTAGGGAATTCTTTCAGTTCGTCATATCACCATTTCCTGCTTAAAACAGACCACTCTAAGAAGTAAAGACTGGCTCTCTTGAGTACATTAGAATGAAGAACATACCGTGTCCCGAAAGCTGTAGCAGAGCCTGGCTTCACTTACCTGCAGACACTTGACTTTCGGGACATGGTGGTACTGGGGGAAGAGGGTGGTGTCTGGTACGACCAACTGTAATCAGAACCTTTCAAGTCCAAAATCACCTAAGGGGACAGAGCCAGTGAAGAAGAGAGGTGCTGAGAAGGGAAACATTATCTGTCAAATCTTAAAACCTGTAACATCAAATTTCTACCATCACTGAGGGGTGAGCACTAAAGCAGAAAATGTTTTGAACTATACTACTAATCCATTAATGTCAAAATCCTTTTGTTAAGAAAAAATACAACTAATCTGGGGATCAAAGGGGACCCATGAAATATCAGTCAAAAAAAAAGATTTATAGTGACAGATTAACAATTTATAAGACCCAAGTTTGGAATTTACAGGATTTCGTCTTGTAGTATCTCAAAGATAATAATGGTTTCAGGATTTGTTGATCTTTTATTGTTAGCCACTTGATATTCAGTGGTCACTTGTACCCTGTCTGACCAGGACTTGGTATTTTATAACTTGACAGAATCAAAAAAAAGCAATTCTTTCTCAGTTATTTCTATTTGTCTCTCTCTTGCTTGACAAAGAACAACTTGAGTGTGACATCAACCTCCCATTTGTAAAGTAGGTGCTCAGTAAATGTCTATTTATTGACTGAATGCATGCACGCTATGGTCTAATAAAAGCAACTGATAGATTAGGAAAGTATAAGTTCACAGAGTTTATCTTCTAAGTTGGCTCTCCAAGGTGGTAAGGATTTTATACAAAGGGAAAAAGCCAGCATGTGATTCATCAGCTCCTCCCCCAAGTCTCTTCCAACTTGATACAGTGTTAATATCACATGAACCAAATGAATGAGCATAAAAAGTCATCTTTTTCATAGGCAAGATCTTCATGCATTACTTAGTTAGAATAGGAGGAATTCAGCGAGAACAGTTCACAAATGATGACCAGACACCACAGTCACGTTCCTATGAGAATTTATGTCTAGAGGGTAGCTGAACACGGTGGTTAAGAGCACCAGCTCTAGGCTGCTTGGTCCAAATCCCGGTTCTCCCATTAACTAACTAGGTGAACCTGGTTAAGTAACTTTATCTCCCAGCGCCTCAGCACCTATAGAATGGGGATAACAGGATTAGCTGAGGACATCTATGCAAAGAGCTTAGAACAGTATTTCAATTTGAAACAGGGATGTGATTTTAAATGGGACAATGCCGAGAGGAACCTTCAGGACCGCAGACCTTTATCTCTTTGGTGTGCTCTCCTGGGTGCTTAACTTACTACTCCTACCTGTTCACTTGAAGAGGGCAGTTTGTGAGGGTCCATGGTCAGGCTCTTCAGATCCTCTGATATGGTCTGAAGGTGAGTTATTTCCCCTAGCATTGAGATTTCTTCTTCCTGAAGGAAAGTAATTCATAACATGTTATCATCATGAGTGAGTTACTTCATCGTCGTGATCCAACTGTTCTCCTTAGGGTCACTGCTTAATCCTTCCGACTTTTCAGAAGAGGCACCCCAAGACTAGCACACCTTTACTACTAGCGTTTTCTTTTGGGAAAAAGAAGTCTGCCATAATCATGAAGTGACCTGTGCACCCTATAAAGTAGGAGCAAGTCCAGGTGACCACATGGGCCTCCCTCGCAGGGTCTGGGGCTAGAAGGCTTGCTCAGATGGTCTGCTCAGGATTCTCAGGGGTTCCTGCAGCACAGCCACCTCCACAGGCTGAGGCCCTTCTCAGAAGTCACTCAGCTTCAACAGATGACATGATTTGGATTTTTGGTCCAGACTGGACAGCACATCTTTCTGACAGCACATGTATGCTCAAAAGAACTTAACTGCCCTCCTCTCTTCCTGTTTTTTATCCACCAACTTAATAAATGGCAAGACAGACAGGAACAAGGGAGTATGGAAGAAACAGTCATTCACTTTACCAAAGTACCAGGCTGGGACTGTGGGCCCAAGCAAGAATGACCATGGGGAAATTCTATGTTCAGAGGAACAACTCACATTTGGGCACTTTGCTAGGGCTGAGGGAAGTGAGCTGGTGTCTTCTTGGCTTCAACAGTTGTTCTCAAAGTTCTCAATTATGGCATGCAAGCGGTTAACTCACAACGTAAGTCTGAACTGAGTCACTGAGGCTCCTTCCTACTGACCTTACGATCCCTGGTCAGTATTCAGGTTGGCCAGTGGGCCTGAAAATCACCCGAAGGCCTTGTTTAAAATACAGATGACTGGGTCCTCAGTCCCTGAGTTTTGGCTTTAGTAGATCTGGGTTGGGCTCAAGAACCTGCATTTCTAACCAGTCCCCAAGAGATGCTGCTGGCCTGTGGACCATACTTTGAGAACCACTCTACTAGGCTTTCTTGACTTAAGGAAAGTCAGTGGAACAGCCAGTGCTAAGAACTGTGAACAGGAGTGGGCCATGCAGCCATCAACAGCTGGCAGAGAATCACTGGTTTACAGAGGGATTCCCCATCACGATTCCTGACACACGGCAGACTGCCAATGACTCAATGATGGATAAATAAAGAAGGAGTGTCTCCTCCCAACTGGCAATTTAAGCTTCCAAACTCTCCACTAGCTTACAATCACGGGTCGCAGCATAGAGATGAAGGTGCAGAAGCGGCCCCGTTCTTCAATCAAAGCCTTCCGGACTGCCTGCTTTTCTGTTTCTTCCAACAGGAGATACTTATCATTGACATCTTGGAGAGCGCTGTCCAGCTGAGGCTGGATATCACCTCTCCCTGTAAAGAAAACAAAGCTCCAGGTGTGGCTTGCTGAGACACCAACTTGTGGAACAAATGCCCCTCCTCCCTTGCATCCTCGCTGGAGTGGAAACCACAATTTTCTAGGACATAAGAAAATTATTTATACTCAGAAAAGATGTAAGGCAGCTGTTTTTCTAGCCATTTCCAATTTTCAATGCCCAAAGGGCACATTTATCTTGGCTTACTCATGACAAAGAAAATTTCCAGGGGTGACTCCTCCTGACTTGTCCTCTTGCCTTGTGCAAGTCCACAGAACCTGCGACAGACAAAACCCTAGGACATGGCAGCCAACCTGGATTCTTTCCTTTCAGAACATTCTGAGGAGCCTAAGGGATGGTGAGGGCCTGTGGATGCTTCCAAAAATGGGCACAAGCTGGCTTTGTTGGGTCAACCTCAATCAAAGAGCCTCTGTTGGACAGAAGTTTCTGTCCCTGACAACAAAGATGGCAAGCATAAGCTCTGCTGGTTCTGGGGGGCCCCTGGGAATCCTTGGCAGTCAGTTTAACTCCCCACAGGAGAGTCCTGAATGCTCTTCCTGTAAAACAAACCCAGTAACAAAAAGACCTACAGTCAGGTCTCTGTGGGTGAAAAATTGAAGGCAGAGTTGGTGCTGAGCCTGGAGTCAGTGAAGGAAACCATTTCTAGGGCTTAAGACAGGATGTTCACCTTTTAAACAACTCTAGAATTCAGACAGCAAACTATCTTTTATAAATAAAGTTTTATTAGAACACAGCCAGGCCCACTTCTTTACATACTGTTCACACCTGCTCTCACTACAGCTGCAGAGCGTGCTAGAAGGTAAATATGGGCAGACAAACAGACACTGTGTCAGAGGGAGGGGCTGCTGTGTATCCGATCTGCAGGTGGGGACAAGAAGGAGACCACCCAGGAGACCAGCTTGCAAGCTTCCACACAAGGCTCCTCAAGAAGAAGCTTCACCTGTCACCAAGCCAGAGAAATAATTTCTAAACTCCTTCAGGGCAGGAATATGGACTCTCCCAGCCTAGCCCCCCGTATGCTGCCATGTGTATATATGGCAACTGCTCAATAAATGTTTAACCATTTTAAACACAGAATGTTAGCGACGGACCGGGCCACAGGGATTACCCGACCTGCTTGTGTTTCAGTGGAGGACGAGGCCCAGAAGAGGGAAAGAACTCGTGCAGGGTCATTCAGGGAAAGGTGGTACCAGGACAGAGCCCACACAGCCCAACCCCTCTCCCGGTGGAGGCATTCTTTCCTGCCCCACTGCCTCAAGCCGAATGAATGAATCCCACCTGCCTCCTGTGCAAGAGGCCTACCCAGTCACCATTTACCCTTCTGCTTAAGAGTGTTGTAGAGAAAATGCCAATGCGTTATTTAATTTGAAAAAGGGCTGTGGAAAATTGCCTTGAATATAGGAACGTATTCTATATTTCCTCGCCTAAACAGATGAGAAAGCTTAATCTGAAGAAAGAGGTGGTCAGGCTTCAAGAATATCCCAATGGAAAAGATGGTTGAATTTTAATAAGGAAAGTCTTTTCTTAGGCAGGAATTAAATTCTAAGTTAGCATATAAAAGAAAATAGTACGAGTCAACGGTCACCTTTGAAAACATGTTAGATAGCCAGGAAAGTACAGTGAACACTGGGTACATGTAAGTCGTGCTAGTCAAATGAGTGCAGATGCACGAGAGGCACGATATTATGTAAGAATCTACTGTCTGTGAAGTTTTGGCATATTTTCTAGGTTTATCCACTCTCCTATTCCTCCATTTAGTCAGCATCTACTGCTCAGGATAATTCTATCAGTTCCTCTTCCACCAGGCTGCAGGGTGAGTGGTCCCACACCTTAACCTGGCCATTGGAGCTTAGGTTTCACACATTCCCGGCGGACAGGAAACCTGTAAAAGCATTCTCCCATTCTCTCTGGGACGTGTGGGGGGAGGGTACAGGTACCTCCTGTCCTTGGACACAGCGCCAGGAGGGAAGACTGGGGCATCACCGGCCCTGTGAACACTGTGGGCTTTCCCTTCCTCTACTTTGGAATCTGGCGTGTGCAGGTGAATCCACTTCCCCTGAGTGTACACACAATACAGCCCTCTGGTAGTGAAGCTCCAGAACGCTATCAATACTGTTTCTCTGCAACCTGCAAACAGCGTGGCCAGTCTCTGGCCCCACTGGGGGAGGCCGGGTGGTTTCGGGCCTAGAGGCCTGCTTCAAATCTCACCATCTCCACTATATTCTAGTCAAATATGGAAGGCTGTCAAGATGTCCTTAACTTCAGTGGAGGAGGGTGAAGGGGAGCTGGGGGAGCTACATTAAAACGTGTAACTGCTTGAACAAACCCACTGGGATGTGCCTTCATTATGGCAGCAATTTCTTTCAATATCAGTCTGTAATTAAAAGAAATTGGAAAAATGTATCTCTTCCTTTCAAAAGTTATAATTAATAACACTGACTTTTTAAAATATACCTACATAGAAAAGCAAAATGACTAGAACCAAGTGTTATCTAATATGGTAAATATAAATTTAAATTATTCTATAATTATGGCAAAGTTACTTTAAATATGTATTATGTTAAAATTAAAGGACTTTCCAATTGTAGCATTCTAAAATAAGTATAATCTGTAAAGACTGCTATAATTAAAGTCATAGGGAGTACATTTCCATTCAGGATACATCATAACCTAAAAAACACAATATTTAGTCCCTAAAGTCACTAACACAATATATCATTATATTTAAACAAAAACAACTCTTTTAAGAAATCATTCCATGTCCCAGTTTGATGCACTGGCTTTAACATATAGTAATCTTTTTAGGTCCACAAATTCAGTTATATTAGCACTGATTTAATATACAAAAGCCGGTTCATTTCCTTCCCGTTAGGAACAGGAGGACAGCCATCCCTGACTCCATCAGCAACGTCCTGGCTACTCTGGCTCCCACATGGACTTGACTGCACCCTCATGGGGCTACCCTGATCTCTCACCTGGAAAGCTTCAACAGCCTCTAATAGGCCACCCCTATCGTATTTGGACCAGCTTACTAAGAGCAGCCCCAAATTACTTTCAAAATGTAAATATCATTGCTTATTTTTAATAGCACCCATTGCTTTCAAGAAAAGCCCAATGTCCTTAACATGGCCTGCCCTGCAAGGCAAGCATGGGTCAGCCACCCAGCTGCACCCTCATGTTTTTAGACCTCTATTTCCCTCTCCTCTCCAGAGGCCCTTCCCCGGGGTCCGGCTCCCTCCTCCCCACTGCCTAGTGCCTGTTCATCCTGCAGATGTGATCCTTCAGGAAAGCCCTTGGTGAAGTCTCCCCAGATTAGGGTTCTCTTACTTGATCTTAGAAGTTCCTTACATGTGTCCTTCATGATACTCCTCCCAGTTCTAATTTCATCTTTATTTCTCCAGTTCTTCCACTGATGTCAGTCTCCCCTACTGATCTGGAAGTCCCTTGAATGTTTTTGCTCAGCACTGTATCTTCTCACTCAGCATAGAAGACAGGTACTCAAAGGTCTACAAATGCATTAGGCACTGACATAACAACATGACCTGAGTGGACCCACTGGCCTCAACCGCCATGCATTCAGACGGCCTGACACTGTAACACTAGCGAATTCCAGGACCACCAGGCAGCCGAAAGAAGGGAGGGGTGCCTTAAATGGGCTTTCTAGGCAAAATTCCCCAGCAAAGAAAATGCTTGTGACTTTTTATGTGAAATCTAAGTCACCTCCATCTTGAGAATTTTCTTTCACCACCAGTTTCCAGGGCTTGGTTCTATTCATGCTGAATAATTTTAAGAAGTAAAGCAAGGAGACTTTTCTCCCCCAGGAGAAATATAATCATTCTCTTTGCAGAAAATGTTCTGGGGGCAAAGCACTATGAATGTGCGTCATATCACAGCCACACCCCTAAAGAGAAAGGATTTGATTCTTTTTTAATCAGGGGGAGTTTACCAGGCTTCTGGAAAGAAATGAAGATCTCCTATCTTCCAAACATTTACATTTATTTTCTTTAGTCTTTACATAAATGTTCAAGGCAGGAATTAATATCTCCTTTTGACAGAGGAGGAAAAGAGACTAAGGGAGGCCAAGTGGCTTGCACAGGGCCACTACGCTAGACTCCATCAGGTCGTTCTCGTTCAGAAGCCCACATTCCCTGTACCTCATGCTCACAGCAAACCTACACCGAGAACAAGCTGCCCACAGTTAAACGTTCTACGTCTGTGACAGCCCAATTAAACAGACAGTCAAGCATGAACAGCACTATCTGGAACCTCTCAGCCTCTCCATCCACACACAAGGCAACCCAACCTGGGCCTCGTGGCTGAACCCAGCCAGGAACCATTCACAGGCAAAGGACTTTCCCACCAGGAAGAGCAAACGCACAACACCCTGGAAGTCACCCAAAGTCATCTCTTTTACCTGAGACAGACACATGGGGAAGCCACTGGAATCCTGCAAAATGATGTTCACATGCTCCGATGCACACAAATACTAAATTTCATTCTAAGATGCCTGTTTTTTTTCACATTTTTATACACAGCAAATCAGGGGATGTCTAATAATCAATGGTGTGTGTCCTAGTGTAAACAGAAGTTTTTTTTCTTTTTTTGTGGTCCAGAAAACAAGTGCATCTTACAATTGATGGCATCCTAGAATCAATGAAATATGGGCTTTAAATACTGAAGTATGGGATATAAACACAGAAATGGACATGCAAGGAGAGATAGGAAATTAGAATTTGGAATAAAAAATGTCCTCCCACCAAACAGCAGTTGCCCTTGTTATCCCTGTAAGTCCTCTACCCTAACAACTTGCAGCAGCTTTTGATTGACTCCTAGAAGTGAAAACCACCAGAAATTAAAAGATAAATAGATCTTATCAGGTAAAAAGATTAGAGGCTTTTGGAATTAAGAATCTTCAAACAAACTCAGTTTCTGTTAATTCTTTCAATGAGCTATGCCCGTTTCCACTCATCTGTGACA